TGATGAAAGTGATGAGCATGAGAGGTTATATCGGCTTTAGCAGTTTGTTTAATGTTGAGCACAATTCCATCTATATGACGTCGGACTGAACATGTAGTCTGAATCAGACGATCCAGTGACTGGTGTTGCAAGCAGCCTTCCACAACGCAGGGGGCAGCATAGCCGGATCCAGGGGTGTGCAGGGATTTCTTCTATCTCTCTCTTCCCCCACCAAATTGAAACTCTCGTGAAAATGAAGTGTCCACCAACCATTTCTCAAGAGCGTGCATCCCCCTCTTTCTCAAAAAGCTGTATCCGCCCCTGGGCAGGAGCAGGGGCAGCCAGATCGATCAGTCACTTCGTACAATCTTCACTTGATGCAGTGACCAATTGTAACCCGGTATCCCGGCACGGCATCCGGGCCACATCTCAAATTGTATCTAATATTCATATCAAAGTTGAATGTCTGTCACAAGCTAACACACCCCCATTCCAACCGTCTCCTCCCGCAACGCACACGTGCACACGCATGCACACAATCACACGCATTACATCATGCTCATGCAGCTGTACCAAATACATTTTCTTGTAAAACGACTTGTATATATTTTCTTTTCAGAAAATATGTGAACTCTTTTTCGGCATTCTTTGACACGTTTTCATAAGCAACAGGGTATTTGCCTGCAAATCGTTTGGGACAGAAGACAACAGATAGCCAGGGTAAACAGAATCGGAGCCATCGGGTGCCAGGCCAGCTCGATTTGGTCTCCTCCATTCCTCAAACAAAACGACCGATGCAGTGTAAGAACAGTGGTTTTGATTTACAGCTGTCTCGCGGAAGTCTACTATGTGTCCTCGGGCGGAGGAAAGACAAACCTGTGATCGATAATGTCACTTGAATCTACCAAGTCCCAGACAATACCACACTATATCATCCTTGTCAAACAGAAGGTGTCTCTGGAGGTCACCCATCACGACGACTGTCAGCAATCTGTCGGCATGAGAGCCACACTGGTCTTGGGCCATCGGAGAAGCCACACTGTAAGGTCTTGGGCCATCGGAGAAGCCACTGCAAGGTCTTGGGCCATCGGAGAAGCCACTGTAAGGTCTTGGGCCATCGGAGAAGCCACTGTAAGGTCTTGGGCCATCGGAGAAGCCACACTGTAAGGTCTTGGGCCATCGAAGAAGCCACTGTAAGGTCTTGGGCCATCGGAGAAGCACACTGTAAGGTCTTGGGCCATCGGAAGAAGCCACTGTAAGGTCTTGGGCCATCGGTGAAGCCACTGTAAGGTCTTGGGCCATCGGTGAAGCCACACTGTAAGGTCTTGGGCCATCGGAGAAGCCACACTGTAAGGTCTTGGGCCATCGGAGAAGCCACACTGTAAGGTCTTGGGCCATCGGAGAAGCCACACTGTAAGGTCTTGGGCCATCGAAGAAGCCACTGTAAGGTCTTTGGGCCATTGAAGAAGCCAAGGTCTTGGGCCATCGGAGAAGCAATACTGCAAGGTCTTGGGACAAGGTCTTGGGCCATCGGTCAAGAAGCCATCACGGAAGCCACACATTGTAAGGTCTTGGGCCATCGGAGAAGCCAACTGTAAGGTCTTGGGCCATCGGAGAAGCCACACTGTAAGGTCTTGGGCCATCGAAGAAGCCACTGTAAGGTCTTGGGCCATCGGAGAAGCAATATTTTAGGGACTTCGGCCATCAGAGAAACCACACGGTAAGGTCTTGGGCCATCGGAGAAGCAATACTTTAGGATCCTGGGTCATCGGTGAAGCAGCACTGTAAGGTCTTGGGCCATCGGAGAAGCAATACTTTAGGGTCTTGGGCCATCAGAGAAGCCACACGGTACGGTCTTGGGCCATCGGAGAAGCAATACTTTAGGATCCTGGGTCAGCATGATAATTCTTCCACGTCTTGGGCAAAAACATATCTTTGGACACAGTACAGGTGACACTTTGCCGTCTCGGGACACAGTACAGGTAACACTTTGCCGTCTTGGGCCACAGTACAGGTAATACTTTGCCATCTTAGGACACAGTACAGGTAATACTTTGCCGGCTTGGTACACAGTACAGGTAGTACTTTGCCGTCTTGCGACACATTACAGGTAACATTTTGCCGTGTTGGGACACAGTACAAGTAAACTGTTGCCGTCTTGGGACACAATACAGGTAATAATTTGCCGTTTTGCACCACAGTACAGGTAATACTTTGCCGTCTTGAGACCGATACAGGTAACGCTTTACTGTGTTGAGACACAGTACAGGTAATATTTGCAGTCCCAGGATACAGTACAGGTAATATTTTGCCATCTCGGGACACAATACATGTAGCACATTACCGTATTGGCGCATCCAACAGACAACACCAGCCTTTGCGATAGCAACCAACTGATCGATTCATTCCTTGCAGCTGAACTGAGGTACATTTGTAGGGCGCTTCTAACACAACAGACCTCGGGCTTTGAAGTAATAGTATTGTAAGAGTTACATCCCTTCATTTCAACTTTTTCATCGTTCAAAACCTTAATTTAGGGGATAACTGTACTGTGTTTGACGAATTGGGGACGTATACCGGTGGTTATATAGCCGCAAATTTAGTTATATCGGCGACGTGTAAGCGGAGCCGATATAACGTTAAATTTGCGGCTATATGACCACCGGTATACGTCCCCAATTCGTCAAACACAGTACAGTTATCCCCATTCTAATTCAACTCGTTTTACGCTGTTTTTTCGTGAAAGAAATTCATTATTTAAACCAGGTCAAAGTTCCTCAAGGTCAAAGGTTAATCATATCACTCCTTGAACTTACACCATCGCCAGAAAAAGTAGTTCCCTTTTCAAACTACACACGTTTATTAGGCGCACACAGACTTAATCTGATAATGATTAATAGATCATAGTATTATAGATAAAATGGACGGAATTATGATGAAACCGCCCTTTAGTTACAGAAATGAGCGGCCCGCTGATTCCTCAACTACGGGCCATTATCAGTTCTGTTGTCAAATGACGTCACAGCAGGTGACGTCACGCTCCATAATGACGTCATAAATCTTGTTTCATGATCTAACAGTGTTGGGTCAACAGCCCGTTGCGAGTAAGTTGTTTGAACTTAAAATTAAATTTATGATACTGTTTTGTCTTTTTAACACAAATTACAACCATTTTAACTGGATAGGGGAGTTAATTGACCAATGGCTTCTGCAAATGACAATGTCCTGCAAAACAGCGTTACCCCAATAGTGTAGGGATACATTCAAAGGTTTTGGTGACTCGGTTTTCAAATTGCGACCGTATATGCTGATTATACGGTCGGAAATTTATAGCATTGACCAATCAGAACTCGTGTTACATACTAAGTTGAATTAGAATACCATTTAACAAGTGAAATTTCTTGATATAGACGTGATAGGTCAGCTCGGAAGAGTACACCCTGCCACGCCATCTAGAAATACTTTAAATCTCACCCCGCGTGGTTCGTTGCTACGTATCGCCATCACTGGCTTTGTTGTCCGTTGTAAAGAGGGTGCCCTCATACAATAGAACTGCATTGGAGCTGTTGTACAAAACAATCTTAGCGCTACGACTGTCGTAAGTTTATGTTAAGGTATGGTTTGTTTGTTTAGAGGCGAGTAACGGGATCAGGTGAGACTTGCTGACTTAGTTGATATACAGCGGTGTGCCATATATTTATGAACAAACATGGCAGACGTCACTGGCAAGACGCAGGGCAGCGGCAAACTCAAACTCGCGTAACAACCAAATTATTACAGACCTTACCTTAATACTTGGTGATGTATCCCTCGGCAGCAATTATTTTCCTCAGACGAGTGAGTGAGTATGGTTTTACGCCGCTTTTAGCATTCCTCAGACGACGTGGGATAGACAAATACAGGTTTCTGATATAGTTCACAGGTATGTTTTCCAACAATTGTCGGATCTCTCGCCCCAAGTCCTCACGCGTATTGATATGAACCGTTGTCGCAGTCGGTTTCTGCAGAAGCCAAAAGTTGTCTATAATATTGGCATCTGGAGACTGTGCTGGCCACAAAATGTCATTTATGTAATTTCTTTGTTTATATTCTGCCACGATACGGGCTCTGTGCACAGGCGCATTGTGGTCTTGAAACATAATTTTCATTCGGGAAATGCCGGACAATAACAGGCCACAACTCGGAATCAAGAATATCAATCTATTTCTGAGCATTTATGTTACCTTCTACAACAGTTAGTGTTCCAACACCATGCCAAGTTAGCAGCCCCAGACCATCAAAGAAAGACGTGCATGACACCCGGGACTCAAACACTAAGGGGTGTACTCTTCGCCCGGCCTTGTGTATACACGTACACGGTTGTGTCAGAACTCCAATAACTATTTTACATTTATCACTGAAGTTGACTCTGCTCCATTCTTCATTAATTCTCCATCGAAGTTTTCCTCTGGCCCAAGCGAGGTGATCTCTCACATGCACATTTCTAATCCGGATTTTCTTTCGAACGACACGTCTATAATTATTTTCGAATAATTTTCTTTGAATTGTAGGCTCGGGGACAGTTCTGATCTTATTCTGATTAAACCTTAGAGTAATTTCCGATAAAGGAGAAATCCGCCTGTTTTTTTACTAACTTTAAAAGTTGACAATTATCCCGTGCACCTAGCGATAGACGGTGTCCAGTTCTTGTGCGATTCTCTGTGCTTCCACGTTCCAGAAATCGCTTTACAACTCTGTAATCTGTGTTCCGTGGTAAACCAAGATCCCTGTATTTTGGGTGCTGTTGGAACTTCGCAGTAATCAAATCTTTAACAGGCTGTGACAATTCTCTTTTTCCCCCATGCTACCGACAGTCGCCTGCGTAAACAAGCAGACGACACAAAACTGTCATGTTACTGTCACGTGCTGAAAGCGCAGGGTTAGTATCCTGTTGAGTTTTTCCCCATGTCCGATTCATTCCCTTCATGACATACAAGGCTTTTTTCGGGTCAGTAGGAAAAAGACAATGCAGAACATTCAGATTTCGACACATTTCTTTATTCTACCAAAATGTCAAATAGGTAGGAATTTGAAATCCTCACTAAGCCCAAATTCAGCACTATCACTGCTGGGGTGCCCAAGAATGGGTCTCTCACAACTTGTTTACATGTGTAGAATCAAACCCATTATGCATCAAGGGCAAACACCTCAACAACAAGGCTACCCAAAACAGTTTCATATGAAACCACTCCCTCAATGTTGGATAGTTTTCATGTAAATATTGTCTCAGTTCATCTTTAATTCAAATATGTACAATATTCAGATGAACCGTATAACTCAAAATAAATCTGATATTTTTAAACGTGATGAACTGTTTTATTTCTTCTTGAAGAATGACATGAGCGATGTTTGGTTTTTCGGGCCCTTCGCAGGGGATTTCTTCTGTGGGGAGGCTTTCTTTGTTGGCTGAAACCAAGCAGAAATACTTGCAAAGATTACACATCAAAGATTAGCAATAGTCATGAAAGAGTCAGGCATTCTTATACTATTTTGAGTTGTATACAGTACACTATGCCCAGCTGAAGTGTCTATATCTCTCTGCTGCTCCCTAAAACCACATATATTACTGCATGATCTAACATATAAGCGTGTGTATTTGAAGGCAAATGTTTAAAGATAATCATGTGCCTCTATCTTAGAATATAATCAAAAGAGCCAAAATGCAAAGAACTTCATATTTTCTTATAAATTGTCCATTTGTTCTTGAACGTCAACAAATGGTTATTTGTTTACAAAATCTTCCCCTATAGTCATATTTTCAGATGACCTTCCCATTTTCCCTCTGACCAGCTTCAGCCTCCACAATCAGTGACGACTCCCTTAGAATAAAAGCAATGGGTTAGAATGTAAGTCTTGGTTCCAACAACTCACAGTATAGAAGACTGGATATGGTAATCTTGGATCAGTTCACCTACCTGTGTTTTGGACTGTTTAGCTGGTGATGGTGCTTTCTTCTTCACCTCCTCTTCCCGTTCAGAAGCATCTGTCGAGTCACTCTCCCACACCTTCTCCGTCACTGGAATCATAATCATAACAATCATCATGAAGCAGTGCCATCGAAGTGAGTATGGTTAAAGGTGTATTCCAGCTAGCGTTGGAATTGGTTAAAATATCATAATCGATGATTGGTTCATTACAACCGATCAGTCATCTAACATAATTGGTTAGCCTCATTTATCAAATTTTCCTGATTATGTTTGTTAATGCACAAAAAAATAGAGAAAAACAATGTAGTTCTTTCCGGGTTTTTTTTTGGCAAAATGCATTTGCAAATTTCACATCTTTAAAGGATGACTAGTATGTTAGGAACATAAATTTCCTGGAGTCTTTAAGATAAATTCACTCATGACTTGGAACGAGAGTGTAGTGCTTATGAAATGTAACAGACAAAACCAACCTTTGAAATATATTGTCAATGAAAACAAGTGTTCCAAAATCATTTGTGTTGTTCGATTATGAGGAAACATGATCGATTGCTTGGTCTTTTAGTTATTGCGACCAATCTTTGATTATTTCAATTAATCAGACTATTACTAATTCCAGCAATATCAAATTGTGGCAGCACAAGGGTTTCACATATTGTACACATTTACGGAACCCTATTAGGGCCTTTGGTGGAAAGTAAGTATAAACCATATCAAATATCTTTAGGAGTTCTATTCAACAATCCATCATTTCATCTGATATCAAATAACATACAACAGTCAGCTATACAAATCTACTATACTTGGTATAAAATTCTGATAAATATGAGAATGATGTCATGAAGGAAGAACCATACAATATCTAATTGCTCCAAAAGTTTTGAGTTGTATGAACACTTTCGACAACCAACAATGACTGAAATTCATTCAACACCAATTATCAACAGTACACTTTATTTATGTTATTGTATTCCTACACCAAAGCCTCACATAACAAAACATTTATTGCTAAGGTATCATATTTACATTTTATTATCAATGATATCAATTCCTCCATTTCTAAAACCCTACTACCACAACACTTTCAGCAAAATCCCAGCCTGACAGATTGTGGTTTCTTGTTTAACACTGCACTCAGCAATACTCCAGCTATATGGTGGCGGTCTGTAAACAATTGAGTCTGGACCAGACAATCCAGTGATCAACAGCATGAGCATCATTCTGCGTAATTAGGAACCGATGACATGTGTCAACCAAGACAGCGAGCCTGACCACCCTATCCCGTTAGTAGCCTATTACCACAAGCATGTAATTTTCTGAAAAATATGGGTTATTGAAGATCAATTCTAACCCGGATCTTCATGGGTTATCAAAGAAATCGATCTAAGATCACACTTCACTTGCTTCACAGGTCTCGATTAAATCAATGAAACCTGTCACAAGTTCGACATACTTACCCATAAATCCATCTGCATCCATGGAGGTCTTGGGTACGAGTTTCCGTGTTCTCTTTCTTCGTTTCTCTCCTCCATTTGTCTGAGTGATAACAATGGGTTCATCATCGGAATCAGGTTTCGATGGTTTCTCCGGTGACTTAGGTTCTGGGCTGGGCTCACGGACAGGACTTGGGACCGGACTTTCTTCCAAGATCTCCATCTCTATAAATGTAGAACGTCATACATCAACATGGCAAAAAGTATTGATGTACGTGTTCCTAAAAATACATACACTTACACATGCTATAGACTGACTGACTGAGTTTGGTTTTACGCCGCTTTTGGCAATATTCCAGCAACATCATGGTGGGGGACACCAGAAATGGGCTTCACACATTGTATCCATGTGGGGAATCGAACCCGGGTCTTCGGCGTGACGAGCCAACGCTTTAACCACTAGGCTACCCACCGCCCCCACATGCTATACAGGGTTCGAAATACCCCATATATTAGTCTGCCATGGCATGGTAAATGTTAAAATGGCACGGATAAAAAATGTTCTCGGTGCCCTTATGGCACGCCCAATTTTTTAAAGACATAACTCACCTTTAGTCATTTAATTCCCAAAACAAAACACTTCCGCATATAACAAACAAGATCACCATCACTGCTACAGTCATTTATTCTAAACACATGTGGGCACACTTGATTTCTGAAAGGCACAGTTAAAATATTTGCCTGGTGCCCAAAGGCACACTTAGAAAAAAAAGTATTTCTATCCCTGCTATAGAGAAGGCAGAACTCTCCTACTGGAAATCCATACAGGGACAGGGATTTTTTTCAAAGATATATTTAGATATTCCCCACTTACCATCTTCACTACTGCTGCTGTCAAACAGATCGTTGCGGATTCGTCTCCTCCTTTTCGTGTCTGGTTTGTCCTCGTCTACACAACACAACAAAACATCAGCGCATACAACAACATCCTAGAATGGCTTTCCTAGCAACAAACAACCTACATAGACAAAGGTAACATGTAAAAACTAAAACACTTAAATCATATGCACCGTCAAATTTCTGGATTAAGGGTATGTTCCCTGAATTACAAATAGAACACATAGATGATCCTGAATGAAATCAACTTGACAAAAATTCACTGAATAACCTGGTGCACATGACAGTGAAGGTTTCACTCTGGCATCTTCCAATTTTGTTTTAGAATGTCTTTCAGGAGAAGTAAGTAAAGAAGATGAAACCCACAAAAGTCTCTCTCTTATTACTGTTTGGCCAAAACAAACCAAAGCAGGATTTGTCTGTTTGTTTAATGCCACAGCCATATTCCAGCTATATGGCCGCGGTCTGTAAATAATCAAGTCTGGACCAGACAATCCAGTGATCAACAGCATGAGCCTCGATCTACACTATTGGGAAATGCTGACATGTATCAGGGAGTCAGTATAGTTCTGCATCACTTTTAGCACTATTTCACTAATATCATGGCAGGATACACAAGAAATGGGCTTCACACACTGTGCCCATGTGGGGATTCAAGCCTTTGAGCGAACACTTTAACCAGGAGGCTACCCCCCTGACATGCATCAACCAAATCATCCAGCCTGGCTATCCCTTACTCCTCTCTGACAACAAACCAGCAGGAGACAGCATGAGCTATAGTTGTCAGGGTAAAGTGACCGGCAGTAACTGTTAACAAGATTACACACACAATGACTATTTAAGTTGTTTTTGTTTTGTTACCACTACATGTAAGTCAGTAAATTATCGAATCTGGTGTTACATATTATTTGAAACCATCCACACCATCAGGCTACAAATATGCAATCAGCCATGTCACCAAGCCTGACTAAAGGGCATCTGATACATTACGTAGACTCGTACAGCCAGGATAGAGTGAGGGAGTTTAGTTTTATGCCGCTTTTAGCAATATTCCAGCAATATCGCAGCAGGGGACACCAGCAATGGGCTTCACACATAGTACCCATGTGGGGAATCGAACACTAGGCTAGCTCCTATACAACCAGGAATGGCTTTTGGGAGTCTGTTCTGACCAACAAGGTTTAGCCTCACTGTGTCCTACCTGAATCTGAGACCCTCGTAGATTTCTTGCCTTTACTGGGACGACTCCTGAAAAAACAAAATATCCCATTAGCCACCAGGCACATATTTCCATGCTGGTTTAATACTAGTATTGTTATCCTTACAACTGGTATTTACTAAATTGTCAACCCAACATCAAATCAATTCCAACCTTGAAACTAGATTCACGAACTACAACTGGTTAAATGCCACCCTCAACAATATTTCAGCTGTGTGACAGATGTTCAAGTCCGGACTAGACAATCCAGTAAAAGAATAACACCCACTTCTTTACGTCAGTCTTCTTTTCCTTCTGAGATTCTGGCTTCGTTTCTTTACTCTTCACAGGTTCACTTATTACAGGTTCACTATCAGCTGGTTTACTTTCCACTGGTTTACTCTCTGCTGGTTTGCTTGGCTTTGCTGAAAAATGAAAATATTCACTTTCATGTCAGGACAATCAAGAAAACTATTAAATACAAAAGTGTTGAACAAACCTCCAAAATATTTTATGTCAAAATGGTGATACCACACTGAAGTCTTACCTGGACATGTAATCACAGTTTGAAAAGTCAGCTAATGTTGCTAGAAAGCAATGCTATTGAAAAAGTTTTAACAAACAGGAATCAAGAATGTCCAAGATATTTTTATGGATTAAACTTCTTTTTTATTTCCCTCACAATGTTTTGGGACCACTCCAGGTCCCTTCATCAGATGAACTGACAGTTGAGACTATGACATCGTCACTATCAAAGTCCCAACTGTCAGTTCACCTGACCACGTCGTCACTATCCAGGTCTCAACTGTCAGTTCACCTGACCATGTCGTCACTATCAAAGTCTCAACTGTCAGTTCACCTGACCACGTCGTCACTATCCAGGTCTCAACTGTCAGTTCACCTGACCACGTCGTCACTATCCAGGTCTCAACTGTCAGTTCACCTGACCACGTCGTCACTATCAAAGTCTCAACTGTCAGTTCACCTGACCATGTCGTCACTATCCAGGTCTCAACTGTCAGTTCACCTGACCACGTCGTCACTATCAAAGTCTCAACTGTCAGTTCACCTGACCACGTCGTCACTATCCAGGTCTCAACTGTCAGTTCACCTGACCATGTCATCACTATCAAAGTCTCAACTGTCAGTTCACCTGACCACGTCGTCACTATCAAAGTCTCAACTGTCAGATCACCTGATGAAGGGACCTGGAATGGTCCCGAAACGTTGTGAGGGAAATAAAAAAGAAGTTTAATCCATAAAAATATCTTGGACATCTACGTACAACTTCTAAATGCCTGAGGGAAAGAAAGTACTATTGTTGAACACTGTTGCTATACACAACAGTCAAAACTACACATTAGGAAGATTTAACTTAGAACCTCATTACCCTTCACAGGAAAATACTTTTTTGACAACCAATTTTTCCAAAAGTTTCCCAAACACACAAGCAAGAAGGTTAATGGTTGAAAAAGGATGTCATTATACAGAGAACCATAAAGAAAGCTTTAGTTTCCTTGGTCAGTTTGGCAATTTCAGAGTAATATTTACAGAGCCAGAACTGTATTAAGGAACAATAAGCTGTACAATCAAATTTCAGTTGATGTTGCTGTGTAGTGGTTATAAATAGGTTTTTCAATATGGCTGCCACAGAGGCCATATTAGATATCAGAATCGAACAAATTCAGATGTCATTATTGTGGGAACAAGCTTGTATAGTTTCAACTCCACTGCCTCAGTGTTTCTCAAATGTAGTCATAACTTCAAATGCAGTTCCAGAAATGTGCAAAGGTCAAATAGAAGTCAAAATTTGAAATCCCACAACAAATGGAACATGTTAAACCTCTCCACTAAATATATGGACATTTCATTACATTTTGCAGATATGAATGAGAAATTTTCTCATGAAGTTTAAGGTTTCAGTATGGACAGATTGCAATGATTCAGATTCTTGTCATCATTCTTTGTTTGTGCTGCACACATTAATGCATTTTTATTAACTATCTCATTTCAAAGCCTCAAGCTAACAAAATATGAAACCCGACCTACCGTCACACTTGAGGACTAAGCTGGATTACTATGAAGCTATAAGGTGAGCTACAGATACTGTACTGTGTGATAATCAGAAATGGATGAGTAATATTTACACAACTTTTTAGTTTTCAGTATGGCCAGATTGGAATGGTCAATATTCAAATTCTTGTTATTGTTATTCATTTGTACAGTACATAGCAATGCAATTTTATTCCCTAACTATCTCATGTCAAAACTTCAAGCAAACTACAACCATATTGGAACCTGACCTAAAGTCACACTAGATTACTTAGTCATAAGGTGAGCTACAGAGACAGTCAATCAGCGATATTTCCACACTATTGTGTCACAGTTCCAACACATCCTTGAGGTTAAAACACAAGAACTTTTCAAGGACTTTCTCATTCACCATTTCCTACCAACTTGACCACAGTATCAAGTATTTTGGCAACAAATTGTAAACCAAAAGTCACTGTGTTCTTTAACCTGATTGGCTGAAAAACATGATCGAATGGTATTCGATTCCTGGAAAATGCAAGACTATTCACACGTACAAATATCCCACACAATTGTATTGTTGCTTCGTCAGCAGTGGTGATGTCATTCAAATCATATTGTGATGTAAGGTCGGAATGATGTCACGAAAGAGCAGTTCCAGATGCTGCCATGGGAATCAGCTGAAATGGCAAGCTGATGACACTTCACGTACCCGTACTCGATGTCAATGAGTGCAGACAGTAAAACCATGTGGGCCTTTTGGTTTACTTTTGTGTACAATGTCGATAAACATCATGTGTGGCCTATTTCCAGGTGTTATTGAGTATGTGAAGGACGGGAATATTTCATCTGAAACTTCCGGCTGATGCCGTCTGTTCCAAATGAATTCCCGTGCTTCAAATACTCCATAACACCCGGGAAATTGGCCAACGCATGCTGTTTATCTCCTAAGTGAACAATCTAAAACCATGGGGAAGGTTTTTGGGCCCTTAGTAGTGTGATGACATCTGTGACGTACCTGTCTGATTGGAGAAGAAGGACATCACACCTCCAGCCTTGCTGCCTTTGCCTCCCTTCCCACCTTTAGCTGGAGCCTGACACAGGACGGAACACGGTCAGAGTGTTTGTTTTCAAGTGGGCCACAAGACAATCATTGATATGTTGTTTGGGTCATACATGTGCCCAATACAATGTCATTCACTCAAATTTCACCATAAAATAAAAGCAGCTGAAGTTTGACACCGTGGCAAGTGAATTTTCATTTCCCACAGATCATGCCACATGAGATTGGGTTTCAAAATTCACTTTCCAAATGAATGTTTGTTTGTTTAAAGCCACGCAATATTCCAGATTCATGCAACAGTTTGTAAATAATGGAGTCTGGACCAGACAATCCAGTGATAAACATCATGAGCATCAATCTACAATTGGGATACAATGACGTGTCAACCAAGTCCGTGAGACTGGCCACCCGATGCCGTTAGTCGCCTCTTCGATGCATGGCTGAAGACCAATTTTAACCCAGATCTTCACTGGTATCATTAAAACATATATTGTGTGGACATCCCAGCAAAAGCAACATCAGCACTGGAGTGTGAGTGAGTGAGTTTAGTTTTACGCCGCACTCAGCAATATTCCAGCTATATGGCGGCGGTCTGTAAATAATCGAGTCTGAACCAGACAATCCAGTGATCAACAGCATGAGCATCGATCTGCGCAATTGGGAACCGATGACATGTGTCAACCAAGTCAGCGAGCCTGACCACCCGATCCAGTTAGTCGCCTTTTACGACAAGCATGAAATTTTTAGAGTAAAATTAATATTTTTATACTTATCCTGACTCATGCTTATTGCTTGTCTTCTTCTTCTTGCGAACCTAGTGGAACACTTGTATCTCCCAATTGAAGTTCCCTTCAATAAAAAATCACTCATTAGTACCCACCACGAGTTACCTCCCTTCCACAAGCGCGGGAACGAGGGCGCCACTCGAACCCATGTGCCTCACTCTCTCCTCATATACTGAGCCCAACATTTGAATTTTCAGGGAAATCCAAAGTGTTAAGTGGGGAGGACGGGAGGGCTTACCTCATGAGTCAGGATAAGTATAAAAATATTAATTTTACTCTAAAAATTTCATATTTTTCCTTATCCTGACTCATGCTTATTGCTTGTAGAATCCTACGGATAGGAGGTGGGATTATATATACTTTGGATTTTACTAATTAGTGATTTGAACTGAGATGATTGTAATAACCCTATGGGAACTTCATAAAGGCACTGAACTGAAGAATTCCTGCTGTAACTTATCAGCTGCCATATAAAGGTTATTACAATTTACTTATTATGATAAAAGTATATATAATATTAATACAATGCTTAAGACTAATAGACTTAAGCTTGTTAATATGATAGCATAAACTCCTTAGAGTTTGTTAGCTAAAATACTTTTATGATATAAACATAGAACTGAGCTTAAGATATGATTAAACTTAAGCTAAATATATAATAGCAAAAACTCCTTAGAGTTTATCAGCTAATATACTTTTTTTATGAAGTAAACATAGTACTAAGCTTAAGATATGAATAAACTGAAGCTATATATATAATAGCAAAACTCGTGAGAGTTTGTTAGCTAATATATTTTACAATGTAACCATAATGCTTAAGATATGATGAAACTTAAAACTATATAATAATAAAAACTCTTTAGAGTTTGTTAGCTAATATATTTATATGATATAAACATAGTACTGAGCTTTAAGATATGAATAAACTTAAGCTACATATATAATAGCAAAACTCCGTGAGAGTTTGTTAGCTAATACATGTTATAATGTAACCATAATGCTTAAGATATGATGAAACTTAAGCTAAATATATAATAGCAAAAACTCTTTAGAGTTTGTTAGCTAATATACTTATATGATATAAACATAGTACTGAGCTTAAGATATGAATAAACTTAAGCTACATATATAATAGCAAAAACTCCGTAGAGTTTGTTAGCTAATATATTTTTATGATATGAGTATAGTACTGTGTTTAATATATAATGAACTTAAGCTACATATATAATAGCAAAAACTCTGTAGAGTTTGTTAGCTAATACATTTATAATGTAACCATAGTACTGAGCTTAAGATATGATTAACTTAAGCTAAATATATAATAACAAACTCCGTAGAGTTGTTAGCTTATATATTGTATGATATAATAACCATAGTACTGAGCTTAAGATAATAAAAGAACTTAAGCAAAATATATATAGCATGTAGCTATTTAGTACTGTTATAAGATAAGTAAAAATCTGTAAGATTGACTTATCTTCTCCGAGGAACTGTCAACTGTTGTGCGAGGACCATGGGACCGAATTGGTGGATACCTGAGACGTCCTCGGTGGTGATATCTCTCAGATAGTGGTTGGCAAACACCATATCGGATCTCCAGAAATAACCCTCCATTATTTCAATAGCATTTGTGTAGAGCAATGTAGATGTTAGCGCTCTAATATCATGAGGATTAGAAGCTCATGGAGGGTCAATCCTGCAGTCTTGTAGGCACGTAGTATGACAGTTCTGATCCAAAAGGAGATAGTAGTACGTGAGACTTCCGTCTGCGTAGCTTGATAGAGGAAATAAATCTCTTGCATTTTTCCCTCCTGTTTGGCTCGGTGGAGATATATTTTCAGTGCTCTTACTGGCCATCGTGATAGATTCATCGTATCATGGGGTCCAAGTATATCATCAAAGCGTGTTCATAAACCTCACTTGTGAGGTGTTGGAGCACTATATTCAGATCCCAAGTTGGAGCGTGAAACTTCCGTTTTAATCCTCCAATCGGAAAGCTCGTAGCAAGGCGAGTAACTGGGTTAGGTTAACTTGACGCCCGTTCTCAGTTATGATAGAGCTATTGCTGCAAGATAGGTGGACAAGTTGAGCCTTATAAAATCTTAGTCTGACGTAGATAACATAAGTAGTCCGCCACTTGAGGATGAGTAGCATATCTAGCTGTAAATCCTTCCTTTGCAGCATAATTGACAAACTGTGCCATTTGTCATCGTATAAGTTGCCAGTTGAGTTACGCAGGGCAAGCTAGACTGCTTTGCCGCTCTGGCTGAATAACTTGTTATTCAGACACGCCTTGATACAATCCAAACGTGAAGTTGGAATATATCTGGCTTTCCGCGCGCTTGTTTGGTGTGCGGATGTATTAACAGATTCGAGCACTCTGTAAGATGTAGTATTGGTTGTCCGATTTCTTGAATAAGAGTTGGAAACCACGTTCTCGCTGGTCAGTAGGCCGTGACCAAATTCAGATGGAGGCTCTGCTTTTGACTGATTTTGAGTAAACTTGTGAGATTAACGCTGGTGGCGGAAAAGCGTACGCGTTGAGTCCTTCCCACGATATGCTTAGTGCGTCTGTTGCCAATGCTAGTGGGTCTGGAACTGGCGATACGAATGTTGTCAGTTGTTTGTTGAATCAAGTGGTAAATAGGTCTATTAGTGTAGTTCCTATTTCCTTGATAATATGAGTGAATATCTCTGTATGGAGCACTCATTCTGTCCGCGATGGTATGTGTGGCCGAGAGAGAGAGCGTCTGCTATCACATTCTTTGCTCCTGGAATGTGATATGCTCTGACATGTATGTTGAGATTGTCGATTAAATCGAACAATTGAAAACAGAGTCGATATGTTCGGGGACCTGGTTGAGCTTAGTTTGTTCACATAAAACGCCACTGTCGAATTGACTGTGTGAATCATCCACTGGGTATACTGTAGTAAGTTGCTCCAGTGCATTAAGGCGTTTATTACTGCTTGCATCTCTAGCAGATTTATGTGTAATTTGTTCTCTTGATTGCTCATAGCCCTGATGCCGTCCTGTTGGCAAGATGGGCTCCCCAACCTTATAGTGACACATCTACGTAGAGAAGTGTTATCGATTCCAGCTCTATTAACGAGACGCCTATTCAAACATTGATCTCTTGGTCCACCATAGTAGATGAGGTTTGACCTGAACCGGTGAATTGAACGGTAGAGATTCGTCTAGATGCGAATTGATGATGACTTGTAATGGATGTAATTGTAGTCTGCCTCTGCCTGTCATGTCTTGAGCTGAGCTGAAGTGCGTAACCCCAACAGACTCTGTCACTGTCGTAGTGGTAGCGGAGATAGTAAGGCTTGTGGAAATGACTGTTGGATCTTGATCCATGGTTCTCCGGTACAATTATACGATTCTGCGCCGTTACAAATCAAAAACCTAGAATTAGCAGATCTTGCGAAGGTTCTAGGTCCAACTTAGTAGGTTTACTAACCATCTAGTTGTGTTAGTAGCTTGATGATGAATTCAACTGTAGTCTGAGACGCTATGGATTTGGATCCATTTGTATCCCGTCGTCGAGGTAAATTCGCTGCGAAGTGCTTGACGATGTAGGTGCACAACCAGGGGTGACTGCCATCGTTGAACTTTTATGTAAAAAATCGCCTGACTGCCGTGCCCTCGTCCTTACTTGACAGGGGAGGTCTCTAACCTCAAGAAGGCAGCCCAATCATGAAGGTTCAGATTAGCTGGACTGTAAGGAGGCTTGCTCGTTCACTGATATATTGTTGTCACTTGCAACCTATGTGTTGAACTGTGAACTATGATCGACCTCTGCGTAGGGCGTTGTCCATCTCGGTCCAATCAGAACAAGGCATTTTGATTCTGTAGAGTACCCGCGCTGTGATGTCACCGGTGTAGCAGGAAAAGGAACCTTGTATAATATAGTGCCGTCGTTGATATTAGAACAATCGTCGGTCTTCACCGTAGCTTCCCGAAGTTACCCGAGTGACCACGTGTTTCGAGGGTTGATGGTAAACGCGCGAAACCTCCGGCGCGAAATACCTCGCTCTGTAATATTAATGCTGGGTAGGTTATTTTCCAGGCTGTCGTTGAAAGTAACTTCAGTCTTGAAGATAATTCCGACTTCCTTATATAAGGTTCAATAAACCTTGCAAGTTGTCAGCTTGTAGACTGTTAAAGCTGAACTTGTTGTACATATTTCTTCTCAGGAAATCATTGACGATTATGAGTTTTACTCGTTGTAACAAGGCTGCTGTTCAATTTCGTTATTGAATTGTCTGCAGATCTGCGTAATGGTCACGCATGTAGATAATCGTATCGTAGTAGGTAGTCGGCTTGAAGATCCTTAATTAGGCTCTTCATCTGTTGATAAATTAATACAGCGACGTTCTGTGTTGTAAATAGCCTGTGCAATTGTCTTCGCGTAGGCTTGTAGACGCATATGGCATACAGTTGATAGACAACTCATGCGATGTCTTGAACGGACTGACGAGTGGCTATATATGACGAGTGGCTAGTATATGGAGACCTTGGAGGAGACTTCCTCGGCTTAACGCCAGGGACTTCGCGAAGATCTCGGCAACGCTTCTAGATCTTCTGGGTGAAGTAGACTTGGAGCCACTTAGCCTTCGCGCGACCTTCGCGAAAAGTATCGAGTCAGAGTCCCGATCATATATATGAGCTTGCTTCGCGAATCCACCTCTGTGTTCTACAGGGTGTGGGCTCGGCGGAAGCCCTCCTTCTCCGCGATGTCCTCTCTCAACTGGTGAGGCTCTAGCTCCTTCAAGGAGGCGCCTGGGACTTCCTTAGCGAAGCGTCTAGAGTCCCGATCAATATATGAGCTTTGCTTCGGCGAACAACCTCTGTGTTCTACAGGGTGTGGGCTCGCTGAAGCGCCTCCCCGCAACTCTATATATGAGCTTTCGCTTCCCGCGAATCCACCTCTGTGTTCTACAGGGTGTGGGCTCGGCGAAGCGCTCCCGCAACTCAATATATGAGCGCTTGCTTCGCGAACGACCTCTGTGTTCTACAGGGTGTGGGCTCGGCGAAGCGCTCCCGAGCGCTTGCTTCGCGAACGACCTCTGTGTTCTACAGGGTGTAGGCTCGGCGAAGCGCTCCTTCTCCGCGATGTCCCTCGCAACTAGTGAGGCTCTAGCTCCTTCGCGGAGGCGGCCTGGGACTTCCTTAGCGAAGTGTTCGCTACGGGCTGGGTTGCCCTTCGCGGAGGCGCGTCTGTGGGCTCAAAGGCCCTACGCGAAGCCAAGGCGGGCTCTAAGGCCCTGTATGACTTAGTATGGGGTGGGCTCTGAGGCCCGTGGCTCTGAGGCCTCTGTAAGCCGTAACGGTCTTCCATCAGCCTCATGATTTGGTTGACCAGGTCGTCTGGGATGGTCTGCGCTGGCGTTGAGGGTGTCCTCTCTGTGATAGTGACGAGACCCTCAGTTATAATCTCCGGCGCCAGCGTAGGCATCTCTGATTGCATGTTGATCTGGCGCTGAAGTGACGGTAGCCGATACTGGTCACTTCTTATGACATACATCTGGAATGATAATCGAAATGTCATCATCATATAAACATAATTCTGAATATCAGAAGCAAAGTTTTTAGTAGCCTTCGTGGATTTCCCTTTGACGAGGCTGTAGACCTGGGGGTTCGAGCGCACGCTGAGACGACGTGGAAGCTCTTCTAGTTTTAGACTGTGATGAAGGAACGCCCTGGGAAGCAGGTCGCTTCTAGGATATAGCGGACTGCGCCCCACGCTTATCCCCCGAAGGTAACTCAGGATATATCTGACTCGATCTATTAGCCATGACTGAAGATTGTTTCCGAGATTTATCTGCCTTCCGTCTCAAAACGGAACATAAATATTTATCAAAGGCAGAAATTGGTAAATTAATACATAATTTACAACGAGAAACAATAGAACATGGAGTAATGCAACTAGGGCATTTTAAATGTGGATCGGTAGCAGAGTAACGTAATTTACAAACAGTGCAGATTTTTATTAACGCAAACTGCTGAGTAAACACGGCGAACCGTGAATCAAGCAGCAGAAACACGAATAATTATCAATGCATGTTGAATAATGATACTAGTTACACCTCTATAGATGAATATAAGAGGTAACAAACTAAATATAAATAAAGGATATAGTGTGCAGGGAGACACAGGTGCTCTCACGTCTTGCTCACTGGGTGAAGAAGGAGAGAGTGAGGCACATGGGTTCGGGTGGCGCCCTCGTTCCCGCGCTTGTGGAAGGGAGGTAACTCGTGGTGGGTACTAATGAGTGATTTTTTATTGAAGGGAACTTCAATTGGGAGATACAAGTGTTCCACTAGGTTCGCAAGAAGAAGAAGACAAGCAATAAGCATGAGTCAGGATAAGGAAAAATAACAGCTCATTTTGTATTTGTGTTACATAAAACAATTAGATTAGGATGAAAACAACTAGTCCCAGCTGACAACAGTCTCAGACTGATGAACTAGTTGCTGTGTTTATCCCTCAGCAGGATTCTGATCATCACTACACATGGCTGAACATGGCTCAAACCTACCTATATTTCATTTTATTCAATGAAAAGTTACAGGCAAATAAATACTCAATCAAAGCAAGTACTTTTCTGGGTTTTTTTTCTCTCTTTTGTCCTTTCGCGAGTGAATTTTTATAAATTGATTAAACCCCTGCCTTCCATAGGTGTGCATGTATGTTAAGATGAAAGATGTCTTACGGGCGGTTTCTCTACATCTTCTTTCTTCTTCCCGCCTCCCGCGGAGAACATGCTGGCAATGCTGCCCTTGGGTTCCTTCTTCACAGCTGCACTGCCATTGGATGCTGCCTTGGTTGCCGTTGACAAACTTCCCTGGAATGGATGAATATATGCACATCACTGATCCACGGTGGATTGGAGAGACATGGGGTTAAATATGGTTTTCCAAGATGGTTACACTTACATAGCGGCATGTCTGTATGTTTGTTTGCATGTCGGTGGGTTGGTTTGTTGTTTAATGCCGTACTCAGCAATATTCCAGCTATATGGCGGTCTGTAAGTAATCAAGTCTGGACCAGACAATCCAGTGATCAACAGCATGAGCATCAATCTATGCAATTGGGATATAATTGTTTGCATGTACTTGTGAGGCAGCTTGTATTTATCCATTTTAAAACCACCACAGGTTGCTGGAAACGCATTCCCAAAAAAGAATGACAGATGCTGTAACAAGTTAATTCACTGAACATTAACAATAAATATATAACAAGTTTTATGGATAACAACTTCTTTATTTTCGTGAGTGCGACGTTTCGATACAGATTCTTGTACCGTTGTCAAGCAAGAGTGATACATGAAGTGTAGGAGCTGCATATATATACTGTATATAACAATGAAACAACATAATAGACAAGGGGAAACAACATAATTGCCATGATTGGCTAAGCAGTAAGCTGATGAAGCCAGTAAGTACATAAAGGATAGTGAGAGGAAGCCAGAGATGTAGTTACAATGAGATGTTTATACAATGGATGCGATGTTTATACAATAGACTGGGCTTGGTGGAGGAGTGGATCATAAGCAGATGGAATGAAGTATCCTTGGTCACGGTTGATGGTAGGCTTGTGCCGTTTGATGTGAATGGCTTCTGTGAGCTTGCGCTTAGTGAAGTCCGTTTGGTTGTTGGCGAGAATGGTAATGTCGGACCACTCTATTTGATGATTGGGGTTGGCTTTGATGTGGTCAGAGATAGCTGATTTGGTGTCGGAATTAGCAACAGAGGTGCGATGTTCTTTGACTTCGGGTGTTGATGGGTGGGGATGTTTCACCTATGTAGCATTGTCCACAATCACAGTCTATTTTGTAAATAACACATTTTAGGGTTGTTGTTGTTGACGGTGGGTTGTTTTCTTCCGTTGGCATGGAGGAGGTTGTTGAGGCTGGAGGACGCTGAGAAGGTAGTGTCTATTCCTGCCTGTTGTTTCAGGAGTCGGCTGATTTGGTGTGATGGTTTACCAATGTAGGGAATGGATATCTTGATGGGGGCTGATTCTAGTTTAGACCTTTTGGCAGGAGGTGAAAGCGTTGCTTCCGATGGTTCTGTTGACTATTTCAGGTGGGTAGTGGTTTGCGTTCCACAAAGACTTTCCTCAGGTGTTCAATTTCTTCCTGTAGGTTTGTTGAGCAGATGTTTTTGGCTCTTCTGGTCAATGTAGAGATGGACGCCGGTCTTGACTTTAGGTGGGTGGTTGGAGTTGTAGTGGATGTATTGATCCGTATGAGTTGGTTTTCTGTACACGGAGGTCTGGAGTTGGTTGCAGGAGGTGCGGGACACAAGGACATCAAGGAAAGGTAGTTGGTTGTTCTGCTCTGTTTCAATGGTGAATTTGATGCGGGGATGTTGGCTGTTGAGATGGGCGAGGAGCTGCTTTGGATCTTGCTGAGGTTGGAGGACGGCGAAGGTGTCATCCACTTTCGCGGTACCAGCAGGGCGGTTTGAAGGGTGCAGTTTCTAGGGCCTTCTCTTCCAGGTCGGCCATGTAAATTTCTGTTAGGATGGGGGATAGTGGGGAGCCCATGGGAAGTCCGTGGATTTGCTCATAGATGGCATCACTGCCCCAGGTGAAGTAGGTGGAGTTGATGCAGGCGGAGGTGAGGCTGATGATAGAGTCGGTAGAGAGGCTGGTGTTGAGGGTTGTTGGAGGTTGTCAATTCTGTGACGTGGAGTGCTTGAAGGGCTTCATCGAGGTACATTGGTGAATAGGTCCACAACGTCGTAGCTGATGATTGGACCTGGGTTGGTGATGTCACGGATCTTGGAGCAGAAGTCAGTTGAATCATTGATGAAGGAGTTGGCAGATTTACCTAATGGGGAGAAGTACTTGGGTAAGGTGCTGGGCAGTACTGTAGAATACAGTGTCGCGGGAACAGACTAGTAGACGAGTTTTAGCGGGATTCTTGTGGATTTTGACTGTTGCTCTGGCATAAGGTGGCTGGGGTGAGATACTGTGAGTTTACGATACAGGTCTGTTGAGAGTTGATATTTATCATGCAGCGTTTTAAGCGTGGCCTTATGCTGGACGGTTGAGCTTTGTAGTCGGATCCCTCTTCATCATTTGGTAGGTTGAGGTGTCATCTAGGAGGTTATCCACCATGGAGTGGAAGTGGTCCTTGTCTAAGACAACAGTGGCTCTGCCCTTGTCGGCTGGGGCGATGACAATATCAGGATGTTGTTTAAGTTGTCTGATGGCTTGTTTCTCAGCTGGTGTGATGTTTGGTTTCTGAGGCTGGGCTTTGTGGAGAATACTGGTGATCTGGTGTCGGAGGAAGTCAACCTTCCACCGGGTGCAAGTTGTTGGAGACCCTTTTCAATGTTGGCGATAAACATGTCCGAGTTGATTTTGGGTGATGTAGGGGCAAATTTGAGACCTTTGGCAAGGGTACTGACCTGTTGGTTGGTGAGTTGTTTCTTGCTAAGGTTACGACTGTGTTGTTGATAGTTGGTGCTGTGGTTTTCTTGCGTTTGGTTCCTGAGGCAGTGAGTTCTTGTAGTTTCTTGATGTGTCCGGTCTTAGTTGAGGTGTCTAGTTTGTTGTTGGCGGTAGCTACATCTCTGGCTTCCTCTCACTATCCTTTATGTACTTACTGGCTTCATCAGCTTACTGCTTAGCCAATCATGGCAATTATGTTGTTTCCCTTGTCTATTATGTTGTTTCATTGTTATATACAGTATATATATGCAGCTCCTACACTTCATGTATCACTCTTGCTTGACAACGGTACAAGAATCTGTATCGAAACGTCGCACTCACGAAAATAAAGAAGTTGTTATCCATAAAATTTGTTATATATTGTACGTCTCAACTTCTAAAATGCCACTCAAACAAATTAACAATAAAGAATCTCGGATTCAATGCTCTTCAACTCACATTTGTCTTGGGGCGGGTCTGATGATGGCTGTGACTGTTGAACGCCAAACTTTGCCAGCTCTTCTTTGGACCTGGCCTTGGCTTGTGGGTAGTTTATAGCACTATAACTGGAACAGAAGCAGTGGGAACTAGGGAAGTCAGCAACATACTAAAATAATGTAGCCAGCTGGGAGTTATCTCCCTTGATCTCACAGTTGCATTGTAATATATATTCTTTAGTAAAACTGCAACACACCAAATATTGGCAAGAGTTATGATCTGGAAATTGACAAATCCAACTTTCTCAGAAACGAAAGGTTTTATCCATCACTGATCGTACAATACTGTTATTTTTAACTTGTTATCAGGTTTAAACACACTTCTCCAAGAGCAGGAAATTTAGACTTACATCTAATCTTTGAAATGAACATATTTTACAGAAAAAATTTATATTAATAAAATATATGCAAATGGGATCCCAGAGACTTTAGTCATTTTAAAACAAACTTTTCCTGTAACTGTGATATTCTAGACTTGCATGGGCAGTACTGGGTATATTTGTTATAGGGTCTCTATGACATACAAGTGGAAATCTATAGTGCAGATATGACTATTTACAAACTGCCATCATAAGACATGAGTGATGGAATACTGTAAGTGCAGCATTAAACATTAAACAAAACAACCATCCTACCTGCTGCAGGCGTGTAGGTTCTCCTTCGTGCTGTCATAGTTGGCCATGTACAGCACGTTTGAGTCCTGAAACAACAAACTACTCTAACACGCTCGTCTCTACTATTCTACATGGACATTGAATAAGGAGCAAAATACAGCTAAAATTTCTGTAGCTCACCTGAGTTATTAAGATACAAAAAAGGTAGTCATTAATCTCCCGCAAAGCTAACAAATGTCAATAAACAATCTTAACTATCTAAAGCTGGGCACTGGGCCTAACTAGCCATTTGCAAAGTTTCATGGTAAACTAATAAATTGTTTGGCACTGGAGTATGTGGTTGCTGTTAATTTTAGCAATATTCCATCAACATTACGCCAGGGGGACTAGCACCAAGCTTCACACAACAGGGGAATAGAACCTGGGTCATCACATTCTCTTCCCACAGAGGGTACTTGGCATATCTTCCTACGAACCTCTGTTCTAATACGGCCATAGTTCCCGGTTCTCGTAAAATCCCCTAGCGGCAAAAGATCGCAACACGAATTATCTCCCTTCTTTGTATCCAATCAGAACACGTGTTACATCGACTTAGATTCAACTTGACTAACACAAGCAAATGTGGGGCCACAAATATCCCCCATCTGCCGGGGACTTGTGTTGATGTTACACACAAGACGTTTAATGGCTAGCTTGTCCGTTGTCAACGAGGGCGATGGAGACGCCACTGATCCGCCATAACATGACTGAGTTCTGTCTAGAAGAAACATTTGCGCATCGCGCAGGGGAAGAAGTTTAGTTTCTCGAAGCATACGGAAATTACCAAGGCCTTGCGAATGATCACTTTTGAAATAACGTCGCTGATTGCACAACTAAATCTGATTGCCTCCAATCACGAGTCTTGAACGCTCACACCATGAAAGGGACGTATTAGAACAGAGGTTACGTAGGAAGATATGACAGGAGTAACCTCTGTGGGAAGAGAATGGGGTCATCAGTGGGTAGAGCAAACACTTCAACCTAAAGGTTACTACACCACCAAAAAGGATTTATGAAAGCTACCTAAGGTTTGGATATTATATTTTACTTCATCCCATTCATCATGATAATGCAGACGTTTTTAATAAACTGATCAAGAGTAGAGTCTGACCTTCAACTTGACCTTCTGGACACTGTAGATGTGGCAGCTGGTCACTGTTGACAGCGTTGACTTGAACGCCCCAAGCTCCTCCTCCGCAACAACACAACATTTGTGGCCCTGATACAGAGAATTTCACTTGGGATCCAGGCCTCATACAAACAGTGTCACCATGGTAACACATAATTCCATCACCCATGTTTAACATATGGCTGTTCCTCAAACAAGACAATATGGGTATTTATAGGGAGCTATAGTCCATCCCATCTACATGCATGCTCAAAGCGCTTTGTTTCCCTTGATCATTGGATGTCAATTTCAACGGCACATTATATTCATAATTTCAACTCCCTGGGGACCATAAAACTTGTGCAGCCACTAGGTGCACAAAGCTAATGTGGCCTTCCCACCATCACAATCTTGCTGGATGTTCATGGACATAGGATAGGTATTGACCATTTATAGGTCAACCTTTAGCATTATTCCACATATACTAAGTAGTGGTGGTCCGATTAATTGAAATAATCGATGATTGGTCGTAGTGACTAAAAGACCAAGCAATCCATCATAATTTCTCATAATCGAACACAAACAATTCTGGAACACTTGTTTTCATTAACAATATTTTTCACATGGTTGGTTTCGTCTGTTACATTTCACAAGCACTGCAAGCTCTCGTTTCAAGTCATGATTGAATTTATCTTAAAGATTCAAAGAAATTTATGTTCCCAACATACTATTCATCCATTAAAGATGTGAAATTTTGCCAAAAAAACCCTGAAAGAACTGTTTTTCCTTATTTTTCTGTGCATTAACAAATTTCATAAATGACCCTAACCAATTATTTTCGATGATTGATCGGTAGTAATGAACCAATCATCAATTATGAGATTTGAACCAATTCCCAACACTAATACTAAGGCACAGAGACACCAGAAACTGGTACTACACATTGTACCCATGTGGGAGGCCACACATTCACATCCAACATGAAGAGACAACAATTTACCCTCTAGGCTCGCCAGTCAGTCTCATCAACTGTCTAGCATGTGGAAACGCTTGCCATAAACCAGGACATAGAAAACACTTAGCATACAATGTTGCAAAACAATTGATATACTACTCAAAGATGTTAAGGAATGACATAACAGATTGAATAGAGTAATATGAACAAACATGTTTTCAGCAGTATGTAATTCATCAGGATGAACAACAATGAGTGAATGTTCTTTTAGGCCAGTCAGCAGTGCTTCAGGAATGTCAGTAAAATATCACCAGTAATTGTTCAATTCTGGACAAGACAAACCACAATGTTCCACATGGTTGTACAGTTACCCAGGTCACACATTGTGAACCATACTTTCTCATTACATCAGCTAGATCTAAAACTACCTGAAAATATAATCTCAAATTTTCTTACCATAAAACCATTCTTGGTTTTTGGTGTTCCCGCTACAAAATATGTCACCGTCAGCTTGTCATTGTCTTTTTTGTTTCTCTCCTGCTGTACAAATGCATACAGCATTCTGAAAGGAAGACAATAATCTCATGATGTAACATGACAGTTCATGATACCTTGGTATCACTATCAGGAAACTAAAACTATATTTTATTACAAAAGTTTATATAACTTGGTATCAATGCCACAACTTTCAAACCAACAATACTTAATAATCTCATCAACAATGTTTCCTGTCCTATGTATCAACCCTTTTAGTCAGCCCTTATAATTATAGTGAACTTTTGTCTTATATTTCATTGATGTACTTCCAGAATGAGTGGACACATACATTTGTACTGTGATCAGATAGTAGCATCATATGCCACTCATCATCAACTACTGAGAATCATTTCAAAATAATGGAAATAAGTTTGCTCACTGTTTCGCTTGGTTGACATGAACCTTCAGGTTGGTGCTCAACCACTTGAACGTCACCTGCAACACAGACAGTAGTCAGCAGGGCTACAGATAAGGGGCGTACAGGCGTAATGTACGCCTCAAAATCAAATAAGTACGAGATAATATAAGATTTCAAGCGTATCACGTACGCACATAAATACCTTTGTACGTCTAACATTTAATTTCCGTGCCTATCGTGCAAATGGAAATCTATTTCAGATAAATACTTGTCAAGTTTCTTTTGCGAAACACGAGTTAACACATGAGGAAACCCCGACAGTAGGAATCACTTGCGTTGCCATGCAACGATATGCATCACTATTTTTCGATTGGCTAAAAACTACACTGTTGCTATGTATATCCAGTCGGACCTGACATTTCGCGCATCACACGGTCGCCCAGTTATTTCTCACGCGACTTCAAATACAAATACATGGTTGGAAATAGTGATCGATGAATCGTCCAGACAAACCACATCACCAACTCGCTCACACAAAAACATGTCAGTACTCCTTCAAAATTCTCAGTACACCTCCACTTGCAATATGATGCGTAAGTACACTCACACCCCAAAAGTTATCTGGAGCCCTGAGTCAGCATGGGGATTTGGGTTTAGAATTGGTCAGCAGCAATCGATTTAGTTGGTAAGAGGCAGCTAAATGGTTGTCAGTCAGACTTGGGGACTTGTTGGAATCGGGTTTTTTTTCCTTGACTTACAAAAGTGGGGGTGCCCCCTGGAACCCCATGAATAAATTTTGTGGGTCCTTAGGTGTGTACGTCCAGATAATTACTTCACAGACTGGAATGAATCAGTGATCATGTCAACAGTGGTCACGACGAATGGGTGAAATAAGAGACACAGATAGCTATTGATGGGCTGTAGATACATTCTCTGCATTTTTCTGCATCCATTCTCTACATTTGTGCTTACTCGATGTACATGCATGAAACCCTGGTATTGTCTGGGCCAGATTCTGTTATTAACAGACCACCTTCACGTAGCTGAACTATTGCTGAGCACACCCAAAATATCAATTACCTATTATAGTGAGTGAGTGAGTTTAGTTTTACACCGCACTCAGCAATATTCCAGCTATATGGCGGCGGTCTGTAAATAATAGAGTCTAGACCAGACAATCCAGTGATCAACAGCATGAGCATCGATCTGTGCAATTGAGAACCGATGACATGTGTCAACCAAGTCAGCGAACCTGAGCACCCAATCCCGTTAGTCGCCTCTTACGACAAGCATGGGTTACTGAAGATCAATATTCTAACCTGGACCTTCACGGGTAATTACATATTTAATTTAACTTTAATACTGACTGAAGTTTGGTTTTCGCGCTTTTAGCAATATTCCATAAAGTAATAATTTGGTAGAATCATGATTATCTGATGATCTATGATCTGTCATTTTTATCATCATGTTTCTAGGTCCAGTCAGCAGTATCGAGCAATATGTATCATGCAATCAAATGAGTTGGACCACAATATCAACAATGATCCTCTCCTGGGGACAAATTAATTTAGAAACACTTAGTGTTGAATGCCACATTTTACAGGTAATATTCCTGGAAAATAAAAAAATATAGTTTACTCTACAATGTTCTTAACATGCTTGTTGTTGAACTGCACTCAGCAACATTCCACTATCCAGTTATATGATGACCGACTGTAGATAATTGAAGTTCAATTAATTATATCATGAGCATCCATCTATGTAGCCGAGAGCCGCGATGCAGGGTCATGTCTTGACTGTATAGGACCGCATCCCGGCTCTCAATTTATGTAGCCGAGAGCCGCGATGCAGCGTCATGTCTTGACTGTATAGGACCGCAACGCGCGATGCAGGGTCATGTCTTGACTGTATAGGACCGCATTGCGCGATGCAGGGTCATGTCTTGAATGTATAGGACCGCATCCCAGCTCTCGGTTACCATCCATGTAGCCAAGAGCCGCGATGCAGCGTCATGTCTTGACTGTATAGGACCGCATCGCGTGATGCAGGGTCATGTCTTGAATGTATAGGACCGCATCCCGGCTCTCAGCTACCATCTATGTAGCCGAGAGCCGCGATGCAGGGTCATGTCTTGACTGTATAGGACCGCATCACGGCTCTCGGCTACCATCTATGCAAATCAGATACAATGATATGCATTAACCAAGTCAACAGTGCAACTTCAAAATGTGACTTGTCTGTACAGTCCAACTTCAACATGTGACTTGTCTGTACAGTCCAACTTCAACATGTGACTTGTCTGTACAGTCCAACTTCAACATGTTACTGTCAGCCAGATGATAAGAGATTAATCTTGTTGACTGAAGTAGCAGTGAACGCAGTGGGGTTTTACATCACTTCCTTGTTATTAAATCAGCATTATCACTGATGATAAACAGGAACTGGGTCACGTCCTTATTTACATCTGAACAGGTGTTGCCAAAAGAATGGCTGATACTGATGCTAATGGGGAAATCTGTGAATACTCCCCTCATCTTCAAACATGCCGTGTCATGATATTTACATAAACATGGTGATGTAACTCGTGCAAACAAACACCAAACGCCACCAAGCGTGATATTTCCATCCATGCATTCCTATAATACTACAGGAACGATTGCATTCAGTAATGATAACAGTGTGCAGTGGTAATAGCAGTTTGGATACACTCACAACTTTGTTTTCATCGTTCACAAATTCATCCAAATTTTCCATATAATATTCGTCTACCGCCATGTTTACTTCACTCGAAACAGAAAGTAGAATGGTCAGGTAAGAAGGCCCATGCTGTCACAAGAATCGTTGTCAGCCAAATAAATGGGTATCGTCCCTTATTGTTTCTGTCGATTTTCTACTGCTGAATCTTCTTCCAAAAATGGATTTCGCGGGAGTTTCCGCGAGGTTGACAAGCTAGATGTGGAAGAAGAACTTGTTAGCTGAAACGAACCGGCATGTTCTTAATAACTAGAACATGAAAATATATGTCTCAGATTAACATAATATTCACAGTGTGGAATCCTTTTAAGACTATGGACATTTTGTTATATATTACTGAAAGTTATATGGAAATAAAACATTATTGATGAAAGTTTTATCTCGGATTAAAAAACGTCGAACTTTGAATAAATCCCAAAACAACATGGCGACGAAGTGTCATTTAGGATTTCCTTGCAAACAGTAAAAGGACTTGAATCAAGAATTATAGCAATGGCATGCGAAGATGCTGTCATTGCGACAAATGACGATGCAGCCCAGTGTAAAAGATTTGCCGTTGAGAAGGGATACTGGACAGATCCATACATATCACAGATTATTCCGAAAGGATTCAGCACTCATGCTCCAGAAATCAACAGGGGATATTTTGCTCGCGTCAGATCAATCCAGATTTTAATGGAAAAATTCCTGAAAGTATGCCATCTAAGAAATATGATTTTATGTTATATATGCTCAACACTGTCGTGTAAGCAGTGGTAGCTGCTGAAATCCGAAATGTATCCACTATTTAACATGTTTTGAAAAAGGCTAGTTTGGTCACTTTATGTGCTTATTTTTGCTTGTGAGATTGTCATATTCACATGTACTGCTCCATGTCAGTATTTTTATCAGACATGCACTGGTGGCTAAGGTATTCTCCCAAAACGCAGACCCGTTAAAACAACACTCGTTATGGTTGGTTGCATCCGTGATTAGTAGGCTGTACCCTAAATTAAGAAAATTAGTATCACTCATGTAATGAGTTTTGACAATGTAGCATGTGATCGACTTTAGTATAATATTTAAAGGTTATTCAACTGAGATTTCATTTGTATTCATTTGCAGTAATACACTATCACAGTCAATGTCAATAATTCTTAGTTCATCAGTCACAATTTTAATCATTCCTAGTGGCTAATACCTGTAACTGAAATCACCATGATTACTACATTGGTTATGGGAAAATCCAAAGTATTTTAGAACTTTGACTGATCTTCACGATATTGTCAAAGCCAGTACAGAATCAGCATTGGACTCTTTGAGCATTATGAGAAATGAATTCTGAGTTATCACCATGGTTACCTGACTCAATTACTCATAGGTACAACCGGTCAACCACAGGTGACAACATGAACAACAAGATACAACTGAGGTAACCACTGTTGATGGTGGCTGGCCATGGATTTATGAACGAATATTGGTTGTTATTGTATAGCCGAATATTCCCTTGGAGACAAAAACATTTGCTTCTGTTTTGAAATCTGAAACATTTCATGTTGGGCTCACAAGAAGGGAATGAGTTTTGACCTAGAAAACATTCCAGTGCACAATGAATTCAAGATTTGGAGGCCATTTCGTTATTATTGCATGGCCTGTCACTAGGGTTGGGTATTGACAAAATTTTCGTATTGCGATATATTGCGATGTGTGTTGGTTTATTGCAATATGTATTGCAATATATTATGAAAGTGTAACACAAGGGTTAAAGTAATGAAGTTCCTGTTTCCTTTCTTTTGAAACGATGCAACTGGCCACTGTCAGGACTCAGATGTGATTGTACAAGAGATGGAGAAAAAGCTTTTTGCAGCGGCGTCCACCATTTTGGTTTATTTATCCTTACAACGAGTGCTGATACCAAACTAGTTTTCTTTATTTAAATGGTTTAAAAGTCAGGCAAATGCAATTAAATGCCCAATAAACATTCTCAAAACTATTAATGTATAATAATATCAAGGAAATACAAATGGTATTAGTAGTTTTGACTACATGACAAAAATTACTGATCGTATTGGGAGAACTGGTTCACAAAAGGTGTACCACAATATAATCGTATTCTGATGTTCGAATTGCAATATATCGGTTAACCGGTATTATCGCCCATCCCTATCTGTCACATGATTACCAAGGCGATTTCATGGACCATAATATCAAATATTTTTATCACACTTTGATCTGCTCTGATCCACTTCCACTCCAGCATTGACAAAAGTACTGTGTTAATTAAATGGCATTAATTTTTTATTTTTGCTTTAGTGATGCCACATATTTTGTCACCTACAAACCTGACACACATTCAAGAGCATGGCAGTTGAAATAACCAAACAACTGCAACACTTTCCTTGGTTAATATGGTTCAAGTGCATGTGCTGCTGGTTGCACTTAATGCAAAATATATGATCCCCCACATTTCATTCTAGGAATAATGCAGGTCATCATCCATGGATCCTAAGTCCAGTGTTATATTGAGGGACAACAGTACATATTGTACAGATCGTGGTGTCAGATTATCACACCGTTCATAATTTATGGCTAGGGGGGCTGATGATGATTTTTATGGAGAAGCATGTACAATGTGGATGCCCCCCCCCCACACACACTAAAATTTGTGTACAAAATAAGTTACCCCCTGCATGTCATGTACAAAATCAATGACCCCCCTCCCATAATTTCTAAGCATAATTTTAAACATATTTTTATGTACAAACTTGATTTTTGACCCCTAGTAGTGCGTGTGTACAAAATTGATGACCCCCTAGCTCCCCAGAGCAAAATGGGTGAAACCCCCTTAAATCATCATCAAACCCCCACCCCCACCCATAAATCATCACCAAACCACCCCCAAGCCATGAATTATGAACGGTCCCTGACAACAACATGATACAGTGTGTGTGAATGTTTCAGAGTACTCAGTGTAACTGCCAGATCGTGAACCTGGGGGCGGGGTTCGACACGACGTACTGGAAGCTGAAGGATGCAGCACTCTCACCAAAGAGTTTTGTGGAAGTTGACTTCCCCCCTGTTACCTCAAGAAAATGTCATTTCATCAAAACAAAGAAAGCCCTTATAGAAAAGATATCATCTGAAGGTTGTGTGTTGCTTCTGAAAGAAATATAAGTTATTATTTCTAAGACAATTATTGACAAGTTTACTATTAATTACTAATATTTGTATCTCCTCTCTTTCTATAAAGTTGTCTCCTATAATTGCAGAATAATATATTGTCATTGTATATTATTCCTCCAATACTTATCGTCATCTGGGGCCTGTTCAATAAGAAATATTTAGATAAAACTTTGTCACGTCATTGACTTGGTTGATGCATGTTATTGTAACCCAGATGCATAGATTGAGGGGCGGTGGGGTAGCCTAGTGGGTAAGGCGTCACACCAAAGACCCGGGTTTGATTCCCCACATGGGTACAATGTGTGAAGCCCATTTCCGGTGTCCCCGCCGTGATATTGCTGGAATATTGCTTAAAGCAGCGTGAAACTCAACTCGCACACACATAGATTGAATTTCTTGTCACTAACTGGATTGTCACTTTTACAGACCATTGTCATATAGCTAGAAAATTTTTGCGTGCATCATTAAACAACAAACACAATGTTGATTACTTTTAGATGATGAGATTATGGTGAGCAAGACAGAGATGCACGCAGCAGATTATCACATAGTGGCAGCCAACCTGAAGAATATACCGGAGCTGGAGAAGAAGCTGGTGACAGAGTGTCACCTGGACAAGGACTTACCCACCCTGTTCCTGGCCGAGTGTGTCCTGGTGTACATAGAGACGGAACGATCTCAGCAACTTATTCGCTGGATCTCAGACACGTTCAATACAGCATTCTTCATCAATTATGAGCAGGTCAGATAGTAATGACTGGAATGTTTTAAATTCAAATTTAATTTGCCTCTTTGGTGTAAAGTGTAGTAAAATTTTGGTAAGGTATGCAAAGTACGCTCAAGATATTCTTTACATCTTTGAAACAATTCAGCACAGACGTCTTGTTTTGTTTATTGAAGCAAATGTGTATTTATGAAGGGAGATACTAATGTGTTAGTGGAAGAGTTATCTTTCCTTGATAGAAGACTCAATGCTGTACAGTGGGAGTACATTGTGGGTACCCTTGTATCATGTGTGTGGCGGTGTGTGGTCCTGTGCGTAGAGCTCAGGTCACAAATCAGTTGAAGTTAAGCAACGTTGGTCGCGGACAGTCCTCGGATGGGTGACCGTGTTTGGCAGCTTGACTCCTGAAACTTTCTAGGACTTCAGTCCTGCCCCACAACGAAGCACATGTGACGCATGTGGTCTCACCTTAGGCAAGTGAGTTTGTTCAAACTTGCCTCTGTCCACCCAGTAGTAAAACTGGGTACCTGGTATGATACGATGGTAGTCTGAATTTGAACCTTGAGCGTCTGACAGGCGACCAGTTGTATTCTCCACAGGGAGTGTTCTGTACTCGTTGACCAGGGGTAATATGTCAGCGCTTTGAGCATGCAATGTGCATGGATAAATGCGTAATATAAATGGACTATTATTATTATTATGTGTGTAACCTTTACTGTACAGGTGAACATGATGGACAGGTTTGGCCAGGTGATGATGGACAACCTGAAGACCCGAGACTGCTACCTCCATGGTGTCTCAGCTTGTGCAAGTCTTGACACACAGATGAAGAGGTGTGTAGAAACATGCTTCATCACACTTGTAAAGCAACAGATGGAACTGAATCCATGACAAGCAAACACCTACACCACTAGACTACCCTTCACCCCAAAACCTACAGAAACCAAGCACAGTGTTCTGTCACCATTAAATGTCATGTACAGACTAAACAATGTTTTGGTGGAAGGGAGAAATAAAATTATGATTTTCTCAGTGTGTGTTTGTATGTGTATGTTTTGAGTGAGTGAGTGAGTTTCAGTTGGGTGGGTATGTGAGTGCTGTTTTGGTGGATGCAAGAGGAGTGGAAGAATGAAATGTTTTCACCGCTTCAAACAACATTCCAACAAATGAACATATGGTTTTCACTAGCAAACACCTTAACCACTTGCCTACCCAACCCTCCAAGTCCTACAGGGCGGTGGGGTAGCCTAGTGGTTAAAGCGTTTGTTCGTCACGCCAAAGACCTGGGTTCGATTCCCCACATGGGTACAATGTGTGAAGCCCATTTCTGGTGTCCCCCGCCATGATGTTGCTGGAATATTGCTAAAAGCGTATAACTAAACTCACTCACTCACTCACTCCAAGTCCTACAGAGACCAAGCACAATGGTCTGTCCACATTCACTCTCACATAGAGACACACACCCAATACTAGGTACCCCTTGTTGATACATGGTACAACAGGGACTGTATCTCTGCAGTTGTAAAGGATATGACAGCTCATGTTAACACCAGACACCTTGTGATGTAATGAGTTTTATTTGATTGAAATGTAATTTATTCAACTGCAGGTTTACTTCCAATGGATGGACAAGTGCTGACTCCCTTGAGATATCCACTGTGTACAACTGTCTTCCGCAGGCCGAGATACAGAGGTTAGATAGCTCATCACTTGATGATCACAGAAACACAACAGTTCTTGTGTGATTTACCCTGTTGCACAAAATGATTTTTAGTAAAAACTGATTTGAGAGAAACAAAATTCAAACAAGGCATATCACAGTAATTGTTGAAATTTTGTCTTGTTACTGGCTTAATGGTAAGAGTGCTTTGGGAATTAGGGCCCTGTTACTGATATGTTTAGAGTGTTGTACTCCTGTCTGTCTGTGTTGCATGTGTTATCATCATCATCATCATCATCATCATCATCATCATCTTCATCATCTTCATCATCACCAGACCCATGAAGGTCCGGGTTTGAATATTGATCTTCAGTACCCCATGCTTGTCGTAAGAGGCGACTAACGGGATTGGTTGGTCAGGCTCGCTGACTTGGTTGACACATGTCATCGGTTCTCAATTGCGCAGATCGATGCTCATCACTGGATGGTCTGGTCCAGACTCGATTATTTACAGACCGCTGCCATATAGCTGGAATATTGCTGAGTGCGGCGTAAAACAAAACTCACTCACTCACTCATCATCACCGTCATCATGATCATCATTGTCCTCCTTATTATTTGCCTGCAGAATCGAGCGTATCGAGATGATGGACGAGAGGGAGCTGATGCACCAGTTATTCAGCCATTACTGTCTCACCTGGGCCTACCGAGACCTGAAGGACGTGGGCCTTGCACAGATCGGCCTCACCTGAACAACGCCACAAACTGTCTACAACCAACTCAGAGAAAACAACAATCTCTGTAGAATCTGATCTTTTACTGTAACACGATGCATCTTGTGTGGAGATCTCAGGTCACCTCCGTAGCAGGTTCCACAGGGTGAACTTTCTAACCAGCCAATCAGAGGCTTCTAGATTATTGGTGTGAAACTGCAGCGTATCTGGTTTGTGTATCTCAAAAACATTGTTCATTGACCTGTGCCACTTGAAAATGAAATGTGGGTCAAGATATTGTTGGTGATATTTTTACACATTGTATCTGAGCACCATGACTTCCATACACAGAGCACCATAAGAGAATATATGTATTCTGTGTTGGTTTTCTGTTGTTAAAATCAAAACTTTAAAATCAAGACGGGAAAGAAATAAAGGGCATTGTTTCCAAACCCTGACATTTGACTGAGCCATGAACACAGGTATCATTCATTTAGATTGGTCAGTCAAAGTTTGCTCAGTGTCCATCTAAGGGGACCATCTGTAGGGGTGAGATAAATGTTGATACAGAGGTGTATCCTGTCACAGTGAAATATCTGATTCTTCTGGAATTGAAAAAACAAATATGTGTTCACAACAATACCAAACATGTAACAATATTTATTTTCAAAATATTTACAATGTACATGATTACATAAAATCATCTTACCTAGGCAAGGGAGTTAACTCCAATAATAGTCCAGTTCCTCCCTTGACACTAACCTGGAATTATGGGGTTATATTTTGGCTGGTGCAACAAGTCTGTGCATAGTCCAGTCAAAATCCTGTAATGGAATTGGCATTTGGTGATTGCTGTCGTGTTTTTTTTTATTGCAAGATTTTCTTAGCATTTTTACCGTCAACTGTGCGTTGATAGTTATTTCCAGATGCACTTCGACAAGGTAAACATGTTTTATTGCAGTCTTGAAAGGGTGTAGCCATTTTTCTTGAAGCAAATCCTAGCATTATGAGAGGTGAAATCTGATTGGTCAATAATAGAGCCATATAAGGGTCATTATTTGTACTAAGCACAAGCTACCTATGGACTCAAAACTCCAGGCTAGTTTGGAAAGGATAGAAATTGGATTTAATGGGGAGTTAACTCCCTTGCATTGAGAAGATGACATCAAACAGACAATTTACATTCAACACAATTTCAGAGTAATAATTCCACTGTTGGTAATACTTTGTATATCTTTTGATATATGTGAGGAAAAATTTGAACAAATCATATCAGTTGTTGAAGGACAATTTCTTGCCTGCCTTCCGAGCATTATGTTGAAACTGCCCTTAGGTTTCAGTTTATGGCTTGTATTTCAGTGTTGTGTGAAGTTGTTGACACATTGCAGTGTGTGGAGTCACTTGACCTATAGCAGTACATTATCAGGGGCTGGACCCTGCTCCAGGAAGGGATCTTAGCGCTAAGTCTGTGTTACACAGTTTCATTTCCTATTTTTGGCACTACAGATATAGTAAATATGTGGGGCAGTGGGGGGAGAAAAGTGGTTAAAGCGTTTGCTTGTCACGCTGAAGCCCCTGGTTCGATTCCCCACTTAGGTACGATGTGTGAAGCCCTTCTCATTTGGCATAAAACCCAACTCACTCACTCATTAATAAATATTTGTCAGATGGAGGCAAATAATACAGTCTTTCCACTAAGGTCACTTAATGGAATGGGGTCGGGGCAAAATGGCAGCTTGTGGGATTTTGTGTCAATAGTTAGATTATAAACCATTAAGTATGAACCTGGAACCAAGTTAATAGTTATATGCCAACTACAATTAACACACATGTATCTGTACAGCAGGGATCCATTTTAAGAATAAAACTTTTATCTAATTCCAGATTTATATCATTGAGAATGAAATTCTTTATTCTGAATGAGTCTTTAAGTTATCAGATCCATTAGAAATTCATAATATTCAATTTTCAAAAAGAGAATTTCTATGGAATATGAACTGTGACAGATGCTACTATATTTGCCATTTAATTAGATACAAAACTAAAAAATACACTAATTATTTTTTCTCACTTGAACCAAACTATTCTTTTGACATGAACTTATAGGCATGCCTCCTCTATGTAAGTGAAAAGATAATATTATTCAGAGCAGATAAGTATTCGGAATATTGAATATTTCCTGAATATTTTTTATACAGATATATATTTCAACTCTTGGAAAATATGTATATGGTAAACTGAATACTTCCATCCAACACTGGTGAAGCTTGTCACTGAAGGTTTGTGTGTCTCAAAGTGTACTTGTGAATACAATGCAAACTTTCAGAATTTCTTTAAAAGAGATTATTACAAATGATTCCATGTTTAAATCATGTTTAGCATGCTGTACTAGTCGCTCAAAAATAATAGCTTTGTCCATAGAATTCATCCAGTGTAACTGCATAGCCAAGCAGTTCATGTGTTTGCCAGTCTCACCTAAGGTGTGTTCAAGTCCCATCATACTATGTAGGTACCAAATTCTGTTTGTACTAGCTGTGATATTGCTTGCGTAATTGACATAGACATCAGTCTGTTTATGTTTATTGCTTTGTTTACGGATCCACTGATCCAGAAGAGCTGGAATGTCAAAACAGCAACAATATTTCTTTTAAAGCTTTAAATGTTTTTTTATGACCACCAAGCATGATAATCACATTCATGACTAAATTTTACCAATTGTTTTCCAGTCTGAAGGTTCCATGACCCATGATTGTTGGATGCAATATTATGCAGGGTTCAATGTGAAGAACTAAATTCGACGCATACCATATATTTTGATTGTTTTATGTTTATTTCTTTGTGTATGTATCCACAGACCCTGATCATCTGGAATGTTAAACAAGAGTGAGTGAGTGAGTGAGTTTAGTTTTACGCCGCACTCAGCAATATTCCAGCTATATGGCGGCAGTCTCTAAATAATCGAGTCTGGACCAGACAATCCAGTGATCAACAGCATGAGCATCGATCTGCGCAGTTGGGAACCGATGACATGTGTCAACCAAGTCAGCGAGCCTGGCCACCGATCCCATTAGTCGCCTCTTATGACAAGCATGGGTTACAGAAGATCCATATTCTAACACGGACCTTCACGGGTCTGTTAAACAAGAAACAACCCATTCTGTGTTAAATTATCTTGTACCATGAGGTATGACAAGTGCCGAATACTTGCTAATGAACCATTAGTCCTGCTAACTTGACAATGAAGGGTGTGTGAGGCAGTCCAGTGGTGAAGGTGTTCATTCATCACACCAGAGTCCTGTGTTTGTTTTCAAGTATGAATTCAGTGTGGGAAGGCCGTTTTGAATTGCTGTACTGTGATGTAGCTGGAAAGTCGCTAAAAGTTGTTAAGGGTATAATATAGATTCACCACATACTATATTTAGAATTCACTGTCCACAATCAGACAGGGCAGTGGGGTAGCCTAGTGGTTAAAGTGTTTGCTAGTCACGCCGAAGACCCAAGTTCGATTCCCCATTTGAGTACAATGTGTGAAGCCCATTTCTGGTGTGTTGTTGTGATATTGCTAGAATGTTGCTAAAAGCAGCATAAAACTAAAACTCAGTCACTCACTCACTCACTCGCCAGAATCAGACGACACTGCTTGAAAAAAATTGATTAAATATTAGACATGGTGGAGCTTGAGGACATGTGTAACCCAGCAGTTGAAATGTTGCAATCGTAAGCAGAGTTGCTTCCCTTGATCATGCAAGGATCTTTTGACTTCAGGATGAATCCAAGAATTGCCCTGAAGTTGTAAACATCACTTCCATGAGAGACCGCATTCCTTCCACACTAAACTGACTCAGTATAATATAACTGAAATACTGATTAATGTGGAATTGAATCTGACTCCATCATTTGATAAAGTGTTGATTTCAGGCCCCAATTTCTCGAAACAAACTTAAGTTTTTACTCAAATTTCAAACTGAGTTTGACAACTTGAAACAGCTGAATTTTTAACTCAACTGCATTTTTTAAATAAAAAAAGCCCAAACAACTTAAGTTATATATCCACCAAACTCAAATTGTCTTCTAAGTTTGAGTTTAACATTGATTTCAGTTTATTCTGGGAAATACATTTTCCTGCGTTTTCTCAAATTTGAGTAAAAACTCAGACTTAAGTTTGTTTGGAGAAATCGGAGCCAGATGTTGGTGTATCTACAGCTTGGTTTGATTGGAAGTCATAATTGGTTGTTGCTGCACGTTTCATTGCAGAGATATTCACACTTTACATACCACCTCATTCAACAGATGATTGTTCATTCATACCGATCATGGACAGATGTGGGAATACTGATTTCAACATAGGGACGACCCTTTTATATTCTTGTGGGTGAAGAGCCTTGTCTTTCTCACAGAAAAGTCCAGCCAACCACATTGTTATTTCCCATCACATTATTTTTAGGACTTGCAGGTCAACAAACATTTCTGTTTTACTGACCCTGACACAAAAGGCTAAATTGTTTTGTTTGGTATTTTCTGAAAGAAGCTTGTTTATCTGGGACATCCCCCACCCCAAATATCTAATGGTCGGTCCTTAAGTCATAAATACCATTGACAATCTAGATAAACACAAAGTCTGATTGTACCAGGAAGGCAGCATCATTGTCTTCATCCCTGACGACATGGAGGCCAGATGCTTTAACCTGCCTGCTAGCACATAAAGTCATGTATTTGTTTTAATAAAAATAATTGCTATGTCGATGAAAGAATTACTGTTTACTCTTAATGTCCTTCTCTTTGAACCAGTGAAGATTGGGTTAGAACTGATCTTCAGCAACCCCTGCTTGTCTTAAGAGGCGACTAACGGAATCGGGTGGTCAGGCTTGCTGACTTGGATGATACATGTCATCAGTGTATGAAATAAGCCAAAAATCCAGCCAGACATAAGCCAACATTGATTTAACCAGACCAAATATGGTGAATTTATTCAGATGTATGGAACATCTAAATTTTTTACCAGACCATCTGGCTGGCTAGCTGTAAATGTAGTCTGTCCGTCAGAAATCTAGAACGTCTCGGGCGGTCAGGGCCTTATTTCATATACTGATGTCATTCCAGTTGCACGGATCGATGCTCATGATGTTGATCACTGGATTGTCTGGTCCAGACTCGATTATTTACAGACTTCATTCATATAGCTGGAATATTGCTGAGTGAGGCGTTAAACAACAAACCAACCAACCAATCAACTTCTCCGTGAACATTTTTGCACATTCTTTGCCTGAGACTTATACTCAAATATGGACACTGCTTCCTCTGAAAGGACTGGTGCAACAATTTTAACCATTTGCAACCATTAAAGACAGTCAACATATTTAACATATTGAGCTTCATGCATAAAACAATTTCCCCTTTTCGTAGGTATTCCTGACTTAGCTTGGCTTTACAAAACTTAGATTCTGGTTGTTGTGACCATTCAACTTTAAAAAAATGTATATTAGTAAATCATCAGAATATCAGCCGTCATCAGAGTCTGTGAAATCCAAGTCTATACAGGGCATTATGCTTGAGTCAGCCTGTTACCTTTAAGATACACATTGAAAGAGAGGCATATTGAAGTCAGCACAGAGGGTATAACATCCACGTTGCAAGTTGTCCTAAGCTGTATATTGAGGATGCACCAGTTGGGAGAAGAACAGAAGGTTTAACACCTGATTCAGCTAAAAGTCTTCAGCCTTTACATCACAGAGTCAAACTGAAGTTGACACACAGTGTTTAACACCTGATTCAGCTAAAAGTCTTCAGCCTTTACTTCACAGAGTCAAACTAAAGTTGACACAGAGCGTTTAACACCTGATTCAGCTGAACGTCTTCAGCCTTTACTTCACAGAGTCAAACTAAAGTTGACACAGAGCGTTTAACACCTGATTCAGCTGAACGTCTTCAGCCTTTACATCACAGAGTCAAACTGAAGTTGACACAGAGCGTTTAACACCTGATTCAGCTAAAAGTCTTCAGCCTTTACATCACAGAGTCAAACTGAAGTTGACACACAGTGTTTAACACCTGATTCAGCTAAAAGTCTTCAGCCTTTACATCACAGAGTCAAACTAAAGTTGACACAGAGTGTTTAACACCTGATTCAGCTAAAAGTCTTCTGCCTTTACATCACAGAGTCAAACTAAAGTTGACACAGAGTGTTTAACACCTGATTCAGCTAAAAGTCTTCAGCCTTTACATCACAGAGTCAAACTAAAGTTGACACACAGTGTTTAACACCTGATTCAGCTAAAAGTCTTCAGCCTTTACATCACAGAGTCAAACTAAAGTTGACACACAGTGTTTAACACCTGATTCAGCTAAAAGTCTTCAGCCTTTACATCACAGAGTCAAACTAAAGTTGACACACAGTGTTTAACACCTGATTCAGCTAAAAGTCTTCAGCCTTTACATCACAGAGTCAAACTGAAGTTGACACACAGTGTTTAACACCTGATTCAGCTGAACGTCTTCAGCCTTTACATCACAGAGTCAAACTAAAGTTGACACACAGTGTTTAACACCTGATTCAGTTGAACGTCTTCAGCCTTTACATCACAGAGTCAAACTAAAGTTGACACAGAGTGTTTAACACCTGATTCAGCTAAAAGTCTTCTGCCTTTACATCACAGAGTCAAACTAAAGTTGACACAGAGTGTTTAACACCTGATTCAGCTAAAAGTCTTCAGCCTTTACATCACAGAGTCAAACTAAAGTTGACACACAGTGTTTAACACCTGATTCAGCTAAAAGACTTCAGCCTTTACATCACAGAGTGAAACTAAAGTTGACACAGAGCGTTCAACACCTGATTCAGCTAAAATACTTCAGCCTTTACATCGCAGTCAAACTAAAGTTGACACAGAGCGTTTAACACCTGATTCAGCTAAAAGACTTCAGCCTTTACATCACAGAGTCAAACTGAAGTTGACACAGAGTGTTTAACACCTAATTCAGCTAAAAGACTTCAGCCTTTACATCACAGAGTCAAACTGAAGTTGACACAGAGTGTTTAACACCTAATTCAGCTAAAAGTCTTCAGCCTTTACATCACAGAGTCAAACTGAAGTTGACACAGTGTTTAACTCCTAAGCCAGCAATGTTTCTTCAGACACACGTAGCAGATCATCCTACTAGACTTAGTACAGGGGGTTAACTTGTGCTTGTATATACTTATTTACATATCTGGCTTCCTGTACATCAATATATATATACTGTATTGTTCATTATCATTATCCACCTGATGAAGGGGCAAGAACTAGCCCAGAAACGTTGTGTAAAATAAATCAAGAAGTTGTCCATAAGATTTGTCCTGGTTAACTCTAGCGTCCGCAATTTATCTTTAGCTGTGAAAGAGTGTATGGAGCATCTAATGGGGCATCTGGTGGACACAGAATTTCACTTCAAGCCAGCACTATATGTTTAGCCAAAGTCATCTTGGAGTCCGCACAGAATGTTTAACACCTATGTCAGTGATTTGTCTTTAGCTGCACTTTGACAAGAGTCGGAGACAGCACAGAGGGTTTAACATCCAAATCAGAAATATATCTTTGGCTACATGACAACAGAGTGCCATATTGGAGTCTACTTCAGGTACACCATGTGATTTATCTTCAGCCATACAATGAAGGCGACTCATATTTGAGTTGGCACAGGTAGATATTTGTCCACCGCATCTAAAACCAGGTATTATATCAAATTGAACAAAACCAAAGTCGGGATAAATTTAATACTAAATCCATTTAATGTATACACTTTCTTGTATCTATACATATTTTTATAATGCTATG